ACAACAAAATCTTTTAAATGTTTTAAACAAATTTGTAGATTCTAATAACTAATATCATAAATGAAACCATCTAGTGCAGTGGTATTCAACCTGGGGTACGCGTACCCCCAAGGGTACGCGAAGACATCTTAGGGGTTACGTGAGATTTAAAAAATATATTATTTTATGATAAACACTGAATAATCAGTAATGTAATTTATTTTAGATGTAGATTATATACTACGTATAACTTGAATTATACACCAACAACTTTGGGGGTACAAAGTTGAAGAGAAATTATATCTGGGGGGTAAGCGAACAAAAAAGGCTGAATACCACTGATCTGGTGAACATTCAGCGACTATCTTCTCTCAGCTTGATGTTCTATCTCACATTTCATAATAAACAAATTTTTGGTGCCCTAACCCGAGGAGGGGGACTGGTTGGGCCCAATTGCTATTTATATTCATGCAGAAGGAATGGGTAAAAACCCTTAAAACTAATTACTACAGATAAAACCCGTAAACACAATGTTCTTGGGTTTAGGAATAAATGTCCCTGTGTTATCCAAAGACACGTGCTGAATTATTAAGCCTGTAAGCCTATGACGACATATCGGGCTAGAAAGTTTGATACGAAATGTCAGCATTTATCGATTTTGCCCGCAACAACACTTAAGGAAAACTTACAAGTGTCGATTATTGAATGACCTGAATATACACAGTCGTTTCTATTATCATCTGGTATTCAAACATTGACATGAATATTTAAAATTCTCAAAATACTGCGTTTATTTGTGTGTTTATCGGTTCATTCAACGATTCTATGCTAACTACAGAACTTAAAATAATATCGATTAAGAAATTAGAAGATGGTTAAGAAATGAATAGAGGTGACGGGACAAGGTACTATCACAAATGCATAATGCAGGCATTAGACAATCATTTGGAAGGAATAAGGATAAGCGTAAGAAGGGTACTAGTGTCCTGGTCGATAATGGAACTCAGGATCTGCCACGTACGAAACACTAGCTGCAAAAATCAGACGATGGACCACTGGCATTACGTAATACGAACGTTTACAGTTATCAGCATCCGTTTCATGACGGCCTGATGAGGCGATGAGCAACATCTCGGCGCTGGATGGAAGCGAGTGGTCAGGTTCGCGCTCCGGGGATACTCATCAGAAAGGGGCTAGATGACCCCCCAGATCCGGTCGAGACGCATGAAGTGAAAATAAATATCTCACTGTCAAAAAGAGAACTCCGGACAATCAACACGAAAATAGTTCCACAATAAATTCTACTTCCATATATTTTTCAGAACACCCTCCGAAATAACACAATGATAGGACGTAACTTAATAAAACCACGAGAATTATCAGTGATGACGTCAAGTGGTAATAAGGAGAAGTCATTTTTATCAGAGGAAATCTGATCCGAGTTGTAAAACCGAGCTAAGTTCCAGCTGCAGCAGAGATGATAATGAAGAAACTGCTGATGAAATGACTTGGCAGGGACAGAGGTCGGGTCACATTCCAGCGTCAGTCGGTTTAAAAAGATGTTAAACATGGCCGCCGACATGATAATACAGCCAGCACGACAGCTGCCAATATTCCAAGCAGCAGGATGGACACTGACAGCCTTTCTGGCAAACATCCCCATTTATCCCCGTCCAGTTCAGCCTCCGTTACCAAAACTTTTAATATTTTCATTCAAAATATGTTTCGGTCTAACCAATTATTTATTTACCGCATCATCTGCTAAGGAGCCACGGTGGTCTAGCGGTTAGAACGCTGGCCTTGAAATCCTGGGGTCTCGGGTTCGATTCCCGAATTTATAACTTGTGTTGGGCAAGGCCGTGGTCTAGGAAACACGGAGTTCTCCTCCGGGGGCTTCCCCGGTTTCTCCGTGGCATCCCAACAATTACTCCATTCACACACAGAAGAAGGCAATGGCAAACCACTTCTGGTTCATCTGCCAAGAACGTATATGAACAGGTCCCAGTCCGAGAAAAGGATGGAAGGATCCTGTTCATATAGACCTGTCGTCAGACAGAACACTAAATAATATAATAATAATCATCTGCTAACTACTGGCTGACCCACCAACACTCTAGAGTCGATGAAGTCTAGAGTCTAGACTTCTTCTGGTTTAGAATCCACAATTACAGTGCTGGCAACTTTAGACCGCAAGCGCGGCTACCGGCATCTGCAAATTCCTTATCCAGAAGCCATAATGGTCATGTAAACTATGTACACACAATAACCTAACTGAAGACACTACTAAGCTGTCAGTTAACGCACCTTGCGAGGTCTATTCTTATGTAAAATTAATATACATTTGCATAGTCGCTTTCATCGGCCTTTTAGAGTCTTTACAATATTTTTAAAAGCCCTAATGTCTTTCTTTGGGTGCTGCTGGTTGTATAATGAATTATAAATAATTACGGGTACATTTACAATTGTGACAAGTGTCACCCGTCAGTAGGATTCAATCATCTGTGACCAAAGAGAACGTGTCGTTCATTCAAATCGGAGACGCTACGGTACAAAGCTATTTATACAACATTACGAGGCTCACAATTTCCATCTCTATGGATACAATCTGGAATTGGACAAACCGTAACGAACAGTGTCGCACTGTCAGCTGTGCAACTGGCTGACCACAAGACGACCGATTCTCTCAACAACACTGTCCGATGAAACGACAAACTTCAACTGCTCCCTCAGCAAGACCCTCTGAAACGTTAGTAAACGTCTACCAGACTACACGCCGCAACAACCCAGAAGACAGCCAGCTTCATCTTCGCAGCCGTGAGAACCTCAAATGTCATTGATTTTTAGGTTATATCATGACGTTCAATCGCCACGGTGGTCTAGCGGTCAGAACGCTGGCCTTGTAAGCCTGGGGTCCCGGGTTCGATTCCCGGCGGTGCCCGGATTTATAACTTGTGTTGGGCAAGGCCGTGGGCTAGGCAACACGGAGTTTTCCTCAGGGGGCTTCCCCGGTTTCTCCGTGGCATCCCATTCACACACAGAAGAAGGCAATGGCAAACCACTTCTGGATCATCTGCCAAGAACGTATATGAACAGGTCCCAGTCCGAGAAAAGGATGGAAGGATCCTGTTCATATGGACCTGTCGTCAGACAGAACACTACAAATAAATAAATAAAAAAAATCATGACGTTCCATCAAATGCAAGGATTAGCCTATATAGGTCATTGTCAAATGAAACTGGAAGATGAACAGATTTGGTTTGCAAGGAAGGATTTTGATGATAGTGGAAGCGATAAGTTTGGAAGAACAAGAGGTCGACCAGATATATGGTCTGAAGAGACTGAGGAGGAATCACGAGAAACAACAGGGAAGAAGACTTATTCGTGATTCCATTCCAATAGAATTCTTCCTGATATCAACCACTGTGCAAACCTGCTCGGAAATATAATCTTATATACTTTCTTTTAATTTAATTTTGCGTCGGATATATTATCGTCGATTTTCATTTCTCTATACTACGAAATCACCAGAAAGCATAAGATACTGGTTTATAAAAATAAAAATAATTACAGTTGGAATTACTTTGGTAATATCTGACGACTGAACCAAATGTAAATACTCTGCACACGAGCAAGTTTATCGCGAAGACATTTTAAACGTTTTGAGAGTGTTATAAATTGTAGTTTAAAACGTACAACGGATATGATATGAACTTTTAAGCTGCTGAATCTTGAAACCAAGGCCGGTCGTTGCTAAAGCGAAATATTACCGACAGCCTTGGGCCGGACGGACACAGGCGGGCTGGTAGCTCAGGGGCACTCAGTGTCAACCATTACAAAACATTAAACCGGTTTAAACAAGGTTGATAGTGGAACAACACAGACCTGTTTCACGTGACTCTTAATATTATCACCGCCTTCCTCTTCAGCATTTGATTATCATTATTTCTGTTATCTATAAAATAACAAAATGCGTGATCTGTCAATCCTGATGGGGGAAAAGGTCTTGGACTAGCGAAACAAAGAATTTGGGGATTCGAAATCCACTTGAGTCATGGACGTACGATGACTTTCTATGTTTTCCTGCGCATGGCAGCTCGATCTCCCAGCCAATGGGCAGTAACGCTAATGAGTAGAGTGCCTATGCACAGAACCGGCCGTAGTTCGTTTCCTGGAATCGGCACTTATATTCTAAGCTTCGCGCCCTCTGCTCGACGGGTACCGGGGAATGATATACTCCAGGTAAAGCGACCGGAGTTCCGAACTACCATTTATTCCCACCAGTTGTGTGAAGATTAATGCGTAAGACCCTATTCACATCTCCCCGGTGTTCTGCTTCTTCAAAAACAACGCTACGTTCAGAGACCGACATCTTCACACTCTGCCCCCCCC